GGTTGCACAAAGAAAAGAATACTGAGCTGAGTAACTGATCTAATTAAGCCAAACGCTTTTCTTAACGTTCGAAAGTTGATAATTCAAATGTCTGTTTGTCCTTCGTGACGAGAATGGCACTCCTAAGAAAGGTGTTTTATCTGCATCAGATGATGCACTTCTTAAAATTCTCTTATAAAAATATCCTCCGAGTGCCTAAATTATAGCCAAACCAAATTGTGCAGAATGCGGAAAGGTCATTGTAACATATTTGTCTTCATCTTAAAAAATAGCATTAAAAAACTTTTTGTCTCAAAGGAGGCTGCAAACCACCTCGCCTTTTCTAAAGCTACAGGTTTTTTTGTTTTTTTACAAAACCCCGAAACCTCCCAAGAAGATAAACCGAAGCCCAAAAGACACACACGTTCTTCAAAAGACTTAGTCGGAAGTGTAGTCCATGGCGAAAATAAGACAACTCATTATGTAGATTTAACTATTTTTTAAAAGGTGTAATGAGATATTTTTCGCCCTTTGCAGCTTATTCTTCCGTACTAATGAATCCAGACTTGTGATGTCAAGTTTTGAGATAGTCACCATGATGTATTCAGGATCGTGCCACGTTTTGAGAAAAGAGTGCAATCCACTTAATCATTTCCGTTTTCTTTTTCCGTTTGTCATTCTCCCATTTCAAAGACCGTTTGGTTTGATATAACAAAGTGTGTTTGAACTGTTAACTATTTTCTTTCCCTTTTCCCCTGAATGTATCACTTTAACACAATATGTGTGGTTGGTTATGGGTTGCTCTGTTGCGGTTTGCTCCCTCTTTTCCTTATCGTCCTTATCTCTTCTTCTGCTATTTTATGTTTGTTACTCTCTTGCAATACCTCTATTCTTCGGCACTTACATGATATAATTGTGTCGCAAGTGTCATACAACTCTTATTAAGACAAAACAAAGATATTATTATGTCTGTGAGTTGGTATCTAATCCACTGATTCGTGCTTTTAGAACGTGTTTTAAAGTAAGTGGGGTTTTTTTTTCTCCCTTGCCCATTTCTACGATAATGGCGCCATTTGATTAGTAGAAACATGTGCGTATGATAGTGCCCTATAACGAATAACGTACATAATTGTTATAACATAAAACTGTTACATATAGATGTTCAAGATAATTATAGAGGTTTGTAAAGGATCTGAGAGCAATGATGATTTTTTTAAATGACAGTGGTGGTAGTGATAAGTATGCGGGATGGTGTTTATGTATATAATTATTAAGAAGACATGCTTCTGTTAGTTGGTAAGTGTTTTATACTTTACTTACTTTATTTTGACTTTTTTCTTCCGCTTGTACCGGAGGGTGTCGCGGGGGGGGG